CACCGCCCTTTAACTTCAACACGATAACGCACATTGTACATTCGGGCAGCTAGGAATAGTCACAAGTGTGTTTATCACTGACGTGATGTTAAAAATAATTTGTCAAGAGCTTTGTTTAACAGTATATTTTCTTGAGATTTGAAAACAAGTCACTGAAAAACCACAGCGAGGTAACGCAGTTAGCGCGTTGTCTCACGCGCTAAATCTGTTATACTAAAATTATACGACAATAAGCGGTGATATTTACACATATAATCAATGATTACAGTACCAACAATTTTAAAAAGAGTGATTTCTTTAGTTTTCAGTCAAGTCTAATCGTGAAAATCATCACTTTTGACATGTCTAAACTACCCAATTCAACTACACTGGTCTTGGCAATATTGGAAAAGTCGACCCAGCTAAATTCTTACTCTGAATGTATCAGTCCGCAATTTCAAAACCAGTTGATATTGCCTAAAAATCAACTCACAAATCTAAGGCGTGGTTCGTCTGATTTTGTATTCAATAAAACAGTTTGAAATACAAGTATGATTCATAGTTGTTTTTACAATACACGTAGAGCGAAAATTCGCTCCTTGATACACATTTCAATTGTGGTGTTAACCCTGTTCCCGGGACCGGACATCAGGCCATTTTCACAGCCTAGCACATCACCGGTGAAAACAAAATTTTGAACTTATTTTACAGTTTTTTTTTTTATACAATCAGATTATATCGTTACTTAGACGAACAATATTCATACTAAATATGTTTTGTTTGACCTCAGGATGTAAATTTGATATATGCGAGATTGTAAATTCAAGAAAGTCTTCTTTTTAGATTTAGGATAGGTCATAGGTTAAAATTCGGCACGATTCGATGGTTCGAAATATTGCTAGAATAATATTTACCTTCCATTTATTTATATATTCAAAATTGCGTGCATCAAACTTTACACCTCCATTCAACTCCAATATCTCACACAGAATGTCAACATATTAATGTTTTCGACTTATTTTTGTTCCGTGTTTTGCTATTTGTCATTAGCGTCAAGTGTTTCCGACACCGATACTAGTACCACTCGACGCATGCGCACAACTCAGACGGAGTACGCAGCTGCGAAACACAGCACAAGTGGAACGGAGTTGAGAAACGGTCCAGACAACACCGTATTTGGTACGAACCAGATGTCCACTGGAGACCAGCAGCCAGAACTCATAACCGTTGCTGTTGTAAATTCGGATGCCAGAAAGACCGATACAAACACCCCACCAATAACAACAAATACACAGGCCAAGAATACGGACAGCGCAACGGAGACATCTATATCATTCTTCGACTTTTCTTTAGACGGGATCGGCACTTCATCATTGCTGCTCTTTGTACTGGGCTTGCTCTTAATGATTACCTTATTTTTGCTGATAATATTATTAATATTAGTCTCACAAGTTAAAGGATTACAAGAATCTCTGTCCGTAATGTTAAGCCAAATTATTGTCATAGAAAGGGGCAAGTCAGACCTTCAACGTGACCAACAAAGTCTATCAGCCTAGTAGTCTTGTGTGTTTAAAGCGAGAGGGTTGTCACCTACGCACGCGCGAGAATTGAGTCCCGAGTGACGATAACAACACACTATAAAAACGCAAAGGGTCATGGGTCGGCTGATGGGTAGACGCTTGTTTGTAAACAATGACACGCTATGGCCACCTGGCGCATGCTCAGGTGACGACTCTTCCGCTTTAACGTTTGACATTTCCCATCATGCATTGTTCTGTTCAACAATTAATATATTTCTACTATGTAATATGTAAATACTCTCGCTTTACTTGTGTGTTGGCAGATTAATACTGATTGCTTGGGAATACGGAGATTAGCATATAATAGAAAAGGCGTTTTTCTTACCACTACCACACGTTCATATATTTTCATTAAAAATCTACACGCATTCAATTGTACAGTTTGCAAAATACAGTGTCTCAAGATTGGTTTCCCTATAAGGTTGCTCTATTCAATGTCGAATTTGTGTAAATGTTGCATAAATAATCTTATATTATTAAAATACTAAATAAATGTAATGTCGCTGCCAAAAGTAATAACTATAAAACACGTCGCGGCCATTGAAATGAACATTGAAATGCTTATTACGTTCAGGGCTTGTGTGCTGATTATAATAATGTCGAGATATTTAATGTGTTTTTTATAATGAGTGTTTAATTCATTGTACATAATACAACTAAGAAGTTATTTTACTGTTCCAATATTTTAAACTATACTGCTGTTCGGTATCGTCCAATGAATGGAACGTTTGCTCCATATACTGCTGCGTACTCAATATCGACAAATTAAATCATTTTTAGTATTCTACGTCACTTTAAAAACGGTTTACATCATCATGCCTAATATCATGTAATAACAGTATCACGTTTTTTTCTTTCTGTATTATCCCATCCCACACATGCACAATGCACACTTTCTTTTTTTTCAAATAAAACGTATATCTTGATGAGAACAAACTGAAGCCTTCGAGGGCGACGGTGAATGATGTGTTGTTCTTAAAATAAGGCAATATCTCCGCACCATGTTCGCATCATTACGAATAGTAAATACCGACATTACACAATATTTCTTAGCATTTTTATAGATCTTGTATTTCACTCACCCTGACTTTATGTAATTAGTCATTGTAACACAACATATTCGTGTTGTTCTTAATGAAAACAGTGATAGGGTATATATAAATTTGTGTAGCACTATTGATACTTTGTAACACTTGCATGTACACAAAAATTAAAACATTTACAACAAAACTTACAGATTATTTGTATTTATTGTATGATATATGTTCGTTGGATGTTTAATTAGGAAGATAATGTACACAGGGACTAGAAATACAACAATGAACATTATAATGTTTATATTTTTGGTACACATCGACTGGAGAATGACGAGGGATAAGAACAACGCGAATTAGTATAATTCTGATGCTTGTCTCAATTCTCCATCCCTCGACTGATGCTCATGATGTCATACTCTACCCATAATCCTTTGCTGAAGAATCAAGATGGCTGACTACATAATACTGATGAACTGAAAGTTGAATATCTAGAGAATGAAAAGTGATATTAAAAAAAACTGTAAATTGCATTCTCCCACATTTGTGGAGCTATTTCTTGAGGGGTTTTTATGTTGTTTGGCTTGATGTTTCCTTTAAACACCATGATAAGGATATCACCCTCGCTAAGCACCAACAATATTAACGTTATAGCCGTAGTTGTAAACCGTATATACGTTGAATTTCCGAAGCAATTAGCAGAATTCTAATCACCCAGCAGGTACATTCTGAATAGACATGAAACACCATTATTAAAGCGGAGGAGTCGTCACCTGCGCACGCGCGGAAATCGAGTCCCAAGCCACGATAACAACGCACGCAGGTGACGACCCACTCGCTTTAACATGCGGAAATTTAATTAATATTGTCGGATGCCGCCACAATTTCGTTGGTTCGTTTATAAGGACGGAGAACACCAGTCGCAATAGTTGCAGATTATTTCATGTTTTTAGTTTTTGATTTGTATAAGATAGTTATTTCGTTTTGGAAATCATTTTTTGTCATATGGTGCAATCTCCTCGAACATGGGCGTTGTTAATTTGATACTCTGCTCAAAACAACATTGTAATGACATAGATCATTGGAATGCCAGGTACGTTAAAGGGGGAGGAACAATGGAAAACTGCCGATGAGAAAACGCAGTCTCGTGTCTATCTCACATCAAAGCAAACTCTGCTCCAAAAGATATAATTACCGATTACAAAAATCGATAAACATAATTGTTGCATTCATCATAGATTAATATATATGTAATAGTGATATGTAATTATCAATACACAAGTCATAAGTCATATTATGATATACAGGACATTTTAATATATAGATATGTTGCAATTTTAAGATATACTAGTAGATATGTCGTAATTACACCCCAGTCATAGAATTGACCAATTAAATACACTCGTATATTTGGCAAATTCCTTCTATATATAACATTAGGTACAATTCGTGAACCTGAGGCCATTTCATATGATATATACATTTTTCTTTAAGTAGGGCGTTGGCTATAAAACATAATTACATGCCAGATGGTCTCATGTCGACGCAACAAATCTTCAGTAATTTTCTTGGCTATGTACGATGGAATATAAAATGGTAACCTGTTTACAGTTTGTGTGTATGTTGACGTTTATATACACGTCTTCATGTGCGGCCGTTAATGTTACAATGGTGGGATCGCAAGGAGAAGGTAATTATGCAAGATACAGACACGTTAGAAAGATATAAACACGCACCACGGGATTCGAACGTAACATCACGGCAAATGCACATCGCCGCTGTGGACAGACGCGGACCTCGCGAAGATATAGTACTATGATAAATATTGTAGAATTATCAATTGTGTGATATAGGCAGAATATCATTCGAGATGATTACAATTATTATAATCCATATTCAAAATGTTTAAAAATCCATTTCTCAACGAAGTAGCCATTATAAAATAACCAATGAACATAGATTATGAAATCAACTATGCCTAATATTACACAGTTAACATAGATATTGACAACTCATGTCAAATTGAAGTGTACTTTTCTGCTACATAAATCTGAATATTGTTATTGCAGATATTTATTTTGTTGAAGATGGTACATACAGAATTGTGGATCTTGAGTTGAATTGGGACGATGCACAGAGCTATTGTGAAACTATGGGAGGACGCCTAACTTCAATTCCAACCGAAGGGGTGGAACGTGTGTTAATTGATGCCAATCACGCATCTATCAAAGGTACACGTAAATACATACAAGTCCGATTTTCACCAGTTTCTTTTCTTTTTGCGTGAAAGTATCTGTTACGATCTGAATATAAATAACACACACATTACCATCGTCCGAATCGCACGGTTTCGCTAAAACCGGCCATTCATAACCGGCCCACGAACCCGTACGTGATCGTGTTAGGAAAAGCTGTATTTCACTGCAGTTAAATTGAGTCATTTGAAGTTGGGCGCCAAGAAGCTGGCACTACCAATCAGCGATGTTGTATCATAAATTTGAAGATCCGGGGGTCATCACAGATTAAAACAATGGCGGCGTGTAAGCTCTGCGCTGATTCGCCGGGTGTCAAAGAAAAAAAGGTCTATGTTCGTTGACACGTTTCCAATTGAATAAAGACTATGGAATGTTTAAATATTTGTGCAAACCGTGTTTTAGTAAACTGACAAAACTGTCGAAACAGAAAACAGACTTGCTCGATCCGTTCTTCGTTGCAATTAACACATCATTTCCCTTAGAAACAGCACTAAGTTTTTTCTTTTGATGGTCAGTAAGCTCGTTTACGGAGAAAAAGCTAGCAACATGTTGATTTCTATATTCAACCGAGCTAGCGCCACGATTTTACCAAGTAATGTGTCGTTTCTATCGTGAGTTCTGATTGGGTAAATCAAATGAGTCCAAGTGAATCTTATAATCGTTTGAGGACGTGCGACATACAGTAAATCGTGGTGAAATCTGCCAAGGGTTAATGTTGAGGTTTCGGTCGAATAAATGGTCCTTGGCTGGCGAAGATGACACTTTACGAACTTGCAATGAAGTAGAAGCACTGCAATAACGCCCCACGTGCACAAAAGAAGGCTTCAGAAAAAGGGATTGGAAAACATGTTAAACCATTGTGTACATTTGTATTGCACACACCATATCATGTACTCTATCACTATGTACTTACAGCAAACACATGGATTGGTATACGTGATTATATAGAAGACGATAATAATCCTCTGTACACCAATTTTAATGAGTCTGAACTAACTTACTCAAACTGGAGGCGCGGCCAACCTGACAACGGGAGAGAAAACAACGAATTCTGTGCTGTTGTGAGGTGAGTTGATTTTTTTAAACGTATGAATACTAGTATTAGCAGACTCGTTTTCGATTAACGTTACGATATGATTAAAACCCCGCCAATAAATCGGGGGGGGGGGGGGCGGAAGATTTGTTACGAAACATTGCAACATAGAAAACGAGAGGAAAGACAATGCATAAAAGATGTTCATTGGCAGAATAAAATGTTTGCACATTCAATCAAGCAAAAATAAAAACCTGGAGATGAAACAACGTGAACAAAATGCACTTATCACACTCTTCTAGTCACCTCCAATGATTTCAAATCGTTGACCCTTATATCGCTTGGTGTACGTCTTGTGCCTGAAGTAGTTTACTCCATGACGTAGTTCAAATTCGGGTTGGGTTTGGATTCATCGGAAGACTGGCCACGCTTTAACGGCAGCTGGTTCGTATCCATTCACGAACAAATGTTTGTATGTACGTTTTTATCCACTTTTTGCAACAAAATCTAAACACAACACCATCACTGGAAAAGCGCGAGGGTGGATGTCACTAGAATTCTGAGATTCTCCGTTCTCTCTGTAGCAATACTGATTACCAATGGTTGGACCTAGACTGCTCGCGAGTAAATAGATTTATCTGTGAAATTTGTAAGTTTATTTTAAACATATACATCACTTGTTACAATATCACTGTATCGTATATAATCCATGGAAACATAATATGTAAAAGTTATCACATAGGCTTATCAACTCATAACGTTGGATACTGAGCAAACAAAGATGATGAATTATGCATGGTGCGCATGCTCAAGAGATTAATAGAAATGTGGCACGTAAGTGATATCCAACATTATGAGAGTCATGGTCGTATCGTTTCAGTGGATGTCACCACTATTAACCCCGTAACTACGACATTCACCACTGTTCCTGCATCTACTGTTGGACCAACCACGATGGAAAGAATGACGACTGTAACACCGAGCACACACGAGCCTACGACCGTTCAACACACCACTGTTACCACCAAACAAACAACCGTAAAAACTACACGTGTTCCTACCACTGTGACAACGTCTACTACTGCAACTCCCAGACGCACCAGTAAGTTCAATTCATTCATTCAAGCATGTTCTTGGTGGGTGATTGTTGAAAATCGTCACCAAAATGTGTTTTACTCGCATCTAAGATTGGCTGAATTCAGTGTCGCTATGAAATTCGTAGGCTCTCCAGCAATCTTCAAAAGTTGAACCTTAATGACACATGTTTCTAAATATAGTAATGAGAAATTAGATTTACACAACGCATCTTTCATAAATACTGAAAAACCATTACACCTTTCCTATAAATAGCGCCCTCTATTGACAAAATTACAATATGACGTGAATAGGTAATGTTCTCCTTCTTTATCAATGAATTATGTAATGAGCTGAATAATTCGGAGCACCACGGTGTTCAATTATCTCCTGATTTAATTGAATTATTCTGTCCTCTATTTGCGGATGACGTTGCAATTGTATCAGATTCAGTTGTCGGACTCCAGTAGTTATTAGATAAACTAGAATTGTATTGTGAGCGCTGGAGTATGTCTGCAAACTTGGAGAAGACCAAAATTATTGTTTTCAAGGACGGGGGACATTTATCAGGGAACGAAAAGTGGGTTTATGGAGGGATGGAGGTCCACACCGTCTCATACTACAAATATTTTGGAATTATGTTCTCCTGTAGACTACACTGGTCAATGGCAACAAAACTAGTGAATTGCTTACGCCCTCTATCCTACATAACTTATTTTAAGGTCTTTTATACAATGATATTACCAATACTAACGTATGGGGCGGAAATCTGGGGTTTTAGAGAGTGTAAATGTCTTAGAACGAGTCCAATATCTTGCCTGTAGAATGTTTCTTGGTGTTTCAAATAGATCACCAAATAGTAGTATTCTAGGAGAATGTGGGATATATCCTATCTATCTGTACTCAGCGAAACGCTGCATTAAATATTGGGCAAAATTAATTTCCATGCTAAATTCAAGGTACCCCAAGAAATGTTACAATATGCTATACAATATCGAAAGGCGGGTAACCAGAACAATACACACCTGGATCAGTGACATCCAAAATTTACTTTCCATTTGTAATATGAATGATGCTTGGCTTGCACAAGAAGTTGGAAATGTTAATGTGTTTATAAATACATTCGTGGAACGATTCAAACAGTATCTGTCTTTGGTATGGCGGGCTGACTTGTGTACTTTAGATACTTACTGCCAATTTAAAACTACCATAGAACCAGAAAGATATTTGTTTTTTGTTCATATTCGAACCCATATGCAATCACTATCTCGGCTACAATGTTCATCACATTGTTTACGAATTGAAAAAGACAGAGGTCATCTTGAAAGAGATCAACGTACGTGCGAGCTTTGTAATATGAATTCTATTGAGAACGAGTTCCATTTTTTATTAGTTTGTAATTTTTATAACCACATTAGATGTCTCTATATCCCACACTACTACTGCACCCCACCAACTGTAAATAAATTTATCGAATTACTGAAAACTCAAAATGATGTACTTCTACGGCGTTTAGCTGCGTTTGTATTTAATGCTATGAAACTTAGGAGGGAAACAGCTGAAATGTTGTAAATCATTTAAATATTTTGTATTTACTGTTTTGGGCCGATGGCCATGTATCAGTTAATAAAGATCCTACAATACAAAAAAATAGAGAAGCCATTCAAAGCGTCGGTGTCGTTTGATCTGTTGTCGTCATCTTTAAAAATAACGATTTTGAGATATTTTATTATATTCAAGACGACGAACGACTACATAATCAAAAACCTTTGTTGATTTGAAAAACATTTTATTGACCCATATACGTTATTTTGATGTCATAGTAGAACTCCGTCACTAGAGGGCACAGATGTCTGAAACTGAAGAACGTTTATGATTACGACCATCCTTTACCACGCAACATTTATAAATTGAAAATGTTTATACTCTCATATGATACTCCATTTACCACTACAGGCATCACTGAGCAAAATTGTGTTTCAACATCACTCAAATTGAACTACATTCAAAAGTGCCTGGCAATCAAACCATCCCAATATTGTTAAGATTGTTAACTATATCGTGAAACCTATCAAATCAATTTCAACAGTTGTTTCACATCTCTCACATAAATGCCAATAATAACAGTTATATGGTCAACATTGGTAGATTCAACACGGACTAAATTCCTGTGATGACAGACCTATGTAATGTTATGTGTATGTGTATATGGTTTACTGTCGACAAGACACTCCTCAATTAGTATTATATGTATAAATGTATGAGTCACAGACAACTGGACTTTATTTTAACATAATATTATATTGTATTTCATGTTTATTAATTCCAATGAGTCTTTGTCTCTATTTCAGCGACACCTTTGACGACAGAAAGAACGACAGAAGCACCTGTAGCAAATGCAACAATGTCATTCCAAACAAGTAAGAGTTAAAATAAGTATTGTTAAGTAAAAAAAGTAGGTGGCATTAACGATTTGTTAAATAATACTGGTACATCCTATTGGGCTAGAATCCACTTGATTTATGTTGTATTTCAATAATTTTGTATTCAATTTTTGATACCCCGTGACAGGGATTGCCATCACTAAACTAAGTAATTCACTTCTTTCTATGTAGAACTTATCATCACATCAATGGCTTTCATGGGTCTTATACCAGGATCAGCTCTTTGGGGATACTTTATATTCATAGTAGGCCGTAAAAAAGCTTTTAATTATGAAAGGAAGGCTGAAAAGGATACAGTTGCCATGGATGAGACTGTGCGCCAGTGTTCAGTAAAAACCAACCAAACAACTGTTATTGGCGGAGAACAGTGTGACTCAATTGATGAATCAAAAGATGGTGGGGATATTCTCAAAGCTGGGCGTAATACTGGTCAACAATGGGATATAGAGACACAAGATAATAATGGTGATAATTTAACACGTGTTGAGATAGAACAAGAAAAACTGAAGGCGAATGTGGCCGAAGAAGAAAAAGCTGAGAAGAGAGTTAATGGTGACGCTCCTGCTGTGATTGAGTTAAAAGATGGTGTTGATGAAAAGAATCCCACAATTGAACCATTGGATAGTCCTGCAAGTGTTATACCAGAAGGTGGTGGAACTAATGACCTAAGTGGCGACAATACTAACCGTAATGTTACAGATCATGACAATCAGTCTGAACGACAAGATGTTGTTGGGAATGCTGATGGTGATAATGAATTTTCCAGTAATGAAGATGGCGGAAGTGGGGAAGTCAAAAATCTCGACAGTGTCGATAAAGAATGTATCCAAGGTCCAAAAGACCAGGATGAGACTGTTGATGATGTCAACAAGGCTAGTAATGATGAACATTGCGTAATTGAAGACACAGGGGACGGTGTGAAATATGACAATGTCAGTGACAATGGTGATGCGAGTGGAATTATGAAAAAGGATGTTAGCATTGAAGATGAAGTTGTTCAAAAAGTCGAAGACAGAGAGGAAGTTCTTGTAAATGAGAATGATAACAAAGATGGAATGAATGGCAGTATTGGGGGAAATAAAGAAGATAATATTAAGGGTGATACTGGTGAAAATGTAAACAATAACAACAGAACAGAAGAGGCTGTTGATGCTGTTAACAATGATAGTAATGATACAATTGAAGACACAGGGCTCGGTATGAAAAATGACAATACCAGTAACAATGGTGATGTAATTGAAATCATGAAAAAGGATGTGAGCATTGAAGATGAAGTTGTTCAAAATGTAGAAGACAGAGGTCTTGTAAATGAGGGTGATAACAAAGATGAAATAAATTGTTGTACTGGGGATAATAACGAAGATAATAATGTTGGTGAATATGTCAACAATAACAACAGAGATAAAGATAATGACAATGAATGTGATAAAAAAGTTAACATGAGCAATAATGGTACCAATGAAGACAATACCGGTGATTCCCAATACTGCGTCGATAAAGATACTAGTCAAGTAGATTCTGACCAAACCACAAGCAATATTTCTGACAAAAATGTTACTATTGAAGTAGGTGGCGGTGATGATGATGATGGGAATAAGAACATCAATGATGATGAAACTGTCACAGGTGATGGTGAGGAAGAAACCAATAATGTTCTCCCACAAAATGAGTTTGTATGTGATAATGAAGAACATATGACAACATCACAGATAGAAGAAAATAATGATGAAGAGTACAAGAAAGAAAATCAGACCATTGTGGATGAAGGTGAGCATACAGAGCAAACTGACCTGGGTAAGTATGATGGAGACAGAGATGGAGATACAAATGGGAATGGAGATGATAAGAAAGAGCAAGACAAGAATGCAGAAAATGAGCAGGCTGAAGGTGAATCCAGTGAAACTGAAAGCAGCAAAGATATGGGTGATAATTACAGATTTGAATCTGATGATAAAAGTGAAACACAAGTGGATCCTAAAGAACGTGCAGGTTTAGTTGGAAGTGAAAATGTAGGATGAAATACTTTACAATTTAATTTGTTTACTAATTACTGTACTATTTACTCAACAGTTCAATTAATTAGCGGTAATTAAAAAAATAAGATGGATGTCACCTGTTTGGGCATTTAATTAATGTGAACAAAGTTGTATCTCATATAAGTTAGGTTATATTTAAGAAAGTTTAATCTAACCTTTCATTTTTTTTCATATTAAATTATTTGTACTGTTAGCATGTTTATTTGTTTGAAATGGTAATATATGTGCATTATGTGTACGTAGTTGTATATAAATGTATGTGCATTATTCGACATGGAAAGTTTTCTGTGTCACTTGTGTAATTAGATCTATGGTTGGATATGATATTTCTCATTTCTGTATTGCTATTATATTGGTTTTATGAAGTAAAAATTGACAGAATAAACCAGTAAATCGAAGAAGTGGGTAATATACAAAATACGCATTTTGACATTCCGTAGTTTGATAAGATACAACCGAAAACAGAATAGCGTGATTTTAAAGAGGTGTGTTGTGTGCTGCCTTGTTATAAAGTAATAAAGAAGTATGTGAAATTTCAAAACGTTGTTCCCAGATGAGACATGGAAGTAAATAACAAAAAACAGAGACGGCCGTACTGACAACATATGTGTTACCCACACCTCCAGACTCATGCACATGCAAATGACACGTTATGTTGTTCTCGGCTGTACCTCACTAAGTGATTGAATTACAAACGTGTACAGTTGATAGAAACAGCTTTCCTTTCTTTTAACACAGTAACTAATCCTCTGCATTTTGAGTTGCGTTTATTTAGTTGAATTGTAATTTGAAATGATTGATTTGAATTTTCAAATTGTTCAATACCGGTAGTAATTATAAAAACTTAAATAAACAGCATGTGTAATACCTTAATTTGTGAAATACCTTATGAAAAAATTATCAAAATTGGGTAAGTGTGTCAGTTGTGTGATTACATCATTTTGTGGGGTGGCGTTAAATACTAGTATTGTGCAAATTAAGGAAGTCGATTGACCTGCCTTCCAGAATAATGTGACCAACAATAATTGTTACCCAAGCCAATGTTTTGATAGCGTGACTTTTTTGGGGAAGATCACTAGACATCCCTATAAAAATCTTGGTGCAGATATGGTAGGGTTATCATGGAAATGATTTGTTATTTATATGTTAGTGGGATGCCTTGACACAAGGACGAGCCCATTAAAATTTGGTAGCGATATGAATAAGGATACCATGAAAACTGTAATTTCGGAAATTAGTTGTCAATTAGAATTAAAAAAGTGATTTTAATAAAAATTTGATAAAAACTTGTAATTGCCTTTGACACAATGACCAATTCATTAAATGTTGTCATAAATGAGGACCAGTTAACATTGAAACAGTAATTTCGGGAATATTTTTTGATTTGTAACTCAAAAGGTAGATTTTCTTGAAATTTCGACCTGGGGCAATGGATCAATTTTAATAAAGTTGTTGTTCTGTTTGCCATGCAAACAGCAATTCGGAAATGATTGGTGTAGACAAATCGATTAGATTTTGGTAAATATGGTTGCCAATAAAAAAAAACAATTTCAGAAATTATTTCACATTTATAACTCAAAAAAAATAATTTTCAGGAAATTTTCAGCAGAGGTTGTCTTTTGATAGGTTGTCAGGAATCAATCTATTAAATATTGGTGGAGATCCAGTTGCCATGGGAACAGAAATTTCGAATATGACAAAATATTTGATAAAATGAAAAGAAAATTGACAAATTACCTAAGCAGCTTTTAAGTGACAATATCAACAGAAAAAAAAAAAAACTTGTTCAATAACCTTTTTTGCCAACCCTCAGTGTTTCAAAATTGTATCTGTTGGTATTTTTACCTTTCCCAAGTTGGGAAACTCAATGTCAGCACAGGATTTAGAGATTGGGCCACTCTCCCGATAGTAATCATAACACATACACAATCATATTCCGCTACGCAATGCGGCAATGACGTCATTGTACACCCCCAGACTGAATATCCTACATTCCTAACGGTTGGAAAAATATTCATTCTTGAATATTCCATAATCCCCCACTTGGTTCAAGAGGACAGAGCATTACACGAAAAACAAATAAGTCCACATCAGGTTAATATGAGATGTAAAACATTTTTTTTTTCAAAGTTTCTACTTGCAGTCACTCGCAATATTATTTAAATTTATGTTCATGACGTCATCCTCAAACATTACGGACATATGACTGTATACAATACAGTTACGTTGGTTGTCATGGTGATAAGTCAATACCCAATTATTTCGTCTTGAGTATTTTTTCTTCAATCTTCAGATGATCACTGTTACTATGGAATCGCAAATTCTTAGCAGGGTAAGAAGCGGCGTATATTAGGTGACCGCTCGTGAACTGAGCACGAGCACGCAGCAGTCAAATACACCGCAGATTGTAGATGTCGATGTTGTAAGTGGCTTACTACTATGGACACGGAGATATGCAGCTACACAGTTACATAGAATAAATAGCATTTCGAATGTGGATATCACATTAAGTCAAAGTTGTCACGTTAGTTACATAGGTCACCCCGTGTGTGTGTGTGTACGCCAGCTAGACTCGGAGATAACAGACGTCGGCGACAGGCACATACCTTGTTATTGTTTGACTACATTGGCCAAACCTCGTTGCGTGGATCAAATCCAACTGCCGAGGGGTCATGCCATAAGAACGCATGTTCGTGTCGCTATAGTGTCGATGTAATTTTATCCGAGCCGCCATTTCACGGCGTACTTCGTCTCAGGACATCGTCATTCTTCGCCAACGTAGATTTGTTATTAGATAACCAGAGATCAAGTTAAAAGGTAAGTGTCGACGTCTGGTTATTATTACGCCAATGATTGTCACGTTCAATCGTCACGGACACCAACCAGGGGTGATACGTCATGACTCATCATTATTTAACTACAACTGCCAATTATCCCTTCATGCAATACTTGGATCATTACTTGCCACCCCAAATTCAATTTAAATGTCCCAATTGAACGCCCCTGTTTAGGCCAAAGAACGGCCGAAAAGGTATACTCTAAAACTGACTATTCAGTTTGAAGATTGTTACATATTTTCGGTCGTAATACGTTGCTAAGAGACCTCTCAGATTAGGTAGTTCGCCTTGGCACAGAACTGTATGTCATAACACGCTCTCGAGCAGGCCTACGTTGAAAAGCTGTGCTGGCGTCCAACTAAAATCAACTATCCCGTAGTCCGATCCTGATTTACGAAAACTCACCAGGCAACTGATGAGGTGACATTACACGAAACTTGATTTAGTATAGAAAAAATGCACAATGAGACGAGTTACCTAAATTGTTGTGTTAAATCAAATTACAACAACCCCGATAATAAATGTTTAACTTGTCTCTGGTAATATATCAAAAACAAGTGTCCATGAACCGTTGTTGTCGAGGGGTTCACAACAACTATTTTTACGCGTTAACTACGTGTGTTAAATCTTTGATCATGACGAACCTTATTATTTGAGTTTTATACAATTATGATAATAAATAACAATATCAAATATTTATCACATAAATACCATGTAATGCCTTTATGGTACTATATAAAGGACTATTATTTTCTAATGCCAACATTACACAAAAATCACGTATCCGTGGTTTTCAATCGTACCTTTTGTGTTCTTAATAATAAATCGAAATAAACATGATACTGTAAAAACATTAACTTCCACCTATATATAATTTGAGTCGATACAAAGCTTGTGTCTGATTGGCTACTGAACCATAATACTTAGCAATCCGACCAATCAAAGACCAGCTTGTTTGTTAACACTTATTTCGACGTATCATAATCTGCCTTGTATATAAGCTTCGGCTACACTATATAATTTATAACTATTTCACTATATGTTGATCACTGGTTGTATATTTACAAAATCCAAAGATATACATTCTTTTGTGATGTTTACCTGTGGATCTCACCTATTTACAACATTAGCGCTAGTAATTAGCATCGGACCATCATGATGGGTCACTTTTTAAAGTAGAATGCTACCAGTGCGTTGTTGACAATACGCTTATTGTAGAGACAATACGTGTATTCAGTGTCTAAATCTGTCTATAATTCGTGGTTTTAGTATTAGTCAATTGGACTTTTTAATCTAATTTTATTTTTATTTTTTTCGGAAAACTGTCAAATAACTTGCATAACATGATATTTTATCGTCGTCGTTAGAACCATACTAAAAATAACGAATACTTCGAGACATCAACAAGCAATGTAAATAGTATTAATATATCATTTTTTTTGCCTGACAATAGGTTTTAATTTTCATCGTATCTTTCGTCACCACTCCATTGTGCCACAACTTACATACATGTACATGTATACGGCAATGCCTAAAGTCTGTATTCGCGGGGTACGTGCTGTTGAAATGGTCTATTACGTAACCACGGCATGTTGTAGTTCGGCAAACTATAACACTATTTCTGAGACAGCGCGCGAGACAACCCAACAATGCGTCTGATTCAAACCGTGACCGGCGATTGAAAATACCGGTCCGCACGGTTTTGTAGATGGACGAAGCTGGGTAAATTGTGAAAGTTATGAATACCAACGAGAGAATATGCGTCATTCAATGGTGCAATGTTTTTTTCTTCTTCAAATGTAAATTAAAAACGCAAACAAGAAATATATCTCCTTGGCGGCTACAGTCTATCAATCGTAAAGCGCTAAAACTAAAACGAGACGTACCTTTCAAGTTTTCAGCGCCAACATTTCAGTAAAAAAATACGAAAGCGTTTTTATCATTTCCCGTTGAGGGCATGTGTGAGGTGACCCTTATTAACTTGAATAACTCTCTGGCAATAGCTAAGATTTGACTAAATTCATATCAGCTGCATTATACTAGATAGATAGTCGGTAGATAATTTACAGTTTGTTTGGTACATTTGTTTTGATGTGATAGCTTGTCTTTACTCCAGTAAGGAATAAAAAAAAAATTGGACGCGTGATCGATGCGATTTATAAAGTTACATGTATTGTATCTAATTTTCTCTTCAGGTGCAGTATTTGGCTGTTTTATTCAATCATTGGCTGATTTCCTACCACGTGACGCGAACGATAATATATATTGACGGAGTACATCAGCTAATATATTATGATTGGTCAAATGCTTTTCATTTGAAATTTATAAAGCATTTAAAAATTGTTTATATAAAAATTATTCTTGCATGCGTGAAATTCACTGTACTACATTTGGATTTTTTAAATAAATTTGAAATCCGGGTTATGAGATAGTGAATAAATTCAAAACAAACGAACTTATTTCTAAAATCCATATTTTTCGTGAATACGTCTATGATGACCTAGTTCTCAGTGTCACTTGGAATAATATTGAAACACTTTCAATATACGTGACTCACACTTATAGAGATACATGATATCCACTACTGTCCGTTGTTTTTACAGAATGCTACTCGAAGTCCTGCACGCCTGATTGACATACAGAAGCCAGGGGATTACAAGTCACGGTGAAATTCACGTAGAAAACACCATGTCGAAAAATAAATTCCACCCAATTTGGGCGTTAGTGCTCGCGATGGTACTACTGTTGTTATTTATATTCCTAGTCATCGTAATATGGGAACAAGCGCCGGTAAGAATGAATTGTTATGTGTACATTCGCCGACAGGTACAGTAAATTGAGCTATTTGCTAAAAAACCTGTTTGTTTTTTTGAAAATGGGAACAAATTTTGAGATTTTTTTTGTGGCCTGGGATTTTTTTAGTGAGGTGAATTATTATAGTTTTTGAGGACACGTGTTTAGTTTAACGACATTGTGGTAATTTCCCAGCTTTTGGCCTAAATATTCGTTTGTAGAATCTATTTGAAACCAGTTAGTTTGTAAAACTGAGGGGGAAATTCTGAATTTGATATAAGAAAACAGTATGATGTAAATTTCTGAGCAAGAGGGAATTTCGCAGAAATATTTCGCTGGCAGGTCTTTGCTAAAACATTCGTGGGACCATACCTACGAAAAGATGTGGACAATGGGCAAAATAACTCAAACAAATCTAGAGGGAAGTAAAACAATTCATTAGCCGGAGTCCAGGCTATAAATAACTTTCACCCCCTTTAAATTAGTCAGTCTAAATGTCTAAACTTTTAAAATGTATTTATTCATGAAAAAAACATTTTTTGAGATAATTCCTCATTGACTGCACCCGCGCTCAGCATCGGAACCGTCTGCCCGGGGGTGCTCTATCCCCGTCAGCCAGCAGTTTGGTCTCGGCTTGAACAATGTACTTTCTTAAGGTATATGCTTTAACTTGGAAGTGTGTATTGGCCATTGTAATTTAAATATTTATGTCATGCATACATAATCATCTAGAGATATAATGTGACAATTGTGTATCACAAAGTGCTATATGGTCGAACTGTAATTATACAAGCGCTGTACAGATATTTATATGTTAGTGATATAGCCATTCAAGTTGAAATTTATGGTAGAAACCATGGTATAATTCTCAATAAGTAGCCGTTCGTTGTCAATAACTTGATATTTGGTATCAATTTCCCCATTATCTGAGAAAATTAAGACAAATAAATAATCACGTATAATCCTTGTTTGTATTTCCAGAGGTTATGCCAGTGGTGTAAGAAGAAACGAGGAAAGTCGAGATCTGTGGGAATGGATGATCAGTCAGGGATATTAGAAAACAGTCAGACAAGTCTAGAAGAAATCAACCGAGCACGCCAGGGGCATCGCGTAGTGACACCATACATTAACCCGGCCTTCTGGGACCGCATGGAATACCAGGACGAAAGGCGGGCAAATACAGCAAGTTCCGATAACAGTATTAGATCGACGTCTCCACTACAACCGAGTCTACATGCGCACCGGTTGCGTGGCAACGAGGAGGTATGAATGTGGGTCATACCGTGCAGATACACTTAATATAGTGATGTGAAACCAGCGGTATCTTGTTACGTCATGATGACGTCACTTTAGTATAGAACACAAAACCAAACTGTGAACAGATTAATAAGCGTTGCCATGACGAAATACACTACAAGCTCGTTAATTTCAATCAGATGCAATCCGAAAAGTTTGGTTAGAAGCGGATATGCATAAATATGTGTCCGTATTTATTTACAGTACTTAGTGAATACTACCCGTTTTATCATTTTTTGTGACAAGTGTTACTATGGTTACACGCATAAACAGACGGGGCCGACTAGTTGGTTGGTTGAGACTATGAAGAATACATACGAACAAATACGATATTAATAACTTTTATGGAGACTCAACTCACTGTATATATGCTTTTATGACACGGCGTAGAGGCATGTTTATGTAAAAATGTGTTTCCAAATTTTATTGTCCAGACTGTGTTTCACAGTCACTTGATCCTACTACGTTCAGACAAACACTTATTTTTCTGTCGGACCAGCGATGACTGTGGTGGCGCTTCAGTTTGCAGCTCATACATATTCAAGTTCAATTGAATTATCACATCAGTTGGTATAACTTTTAATATAGAATTTGATGTGTCATGACAACCACTACCTCGCGAACGCGCCAACATTTTAAATCAAGGTCACTTAATTAAAGAGTTTTCAGAACACAATGAACACAACATTTACTCTATGTGGATATTATAAGCAAGATAACAATATTGAATATAATTGATGAAACTCCAATTAGAATGTCGTCGCAAACACAAAAATTCACGCAAAGCATGATGGAAGTAGCCAATTTGTAACACGTGACTGGGAACGGGTATAATATTACATAAAACGATCAAATTGGTTGTCTGCGTAACATGCACTAATTTTCCCATTTATATTACCCAAATGACACGTGAAACAGTGCTTCGCATTTAACCAATGTATATTTCTTTAATATTCAAAATAATAAAATTATTATATTTAAAATATTCCATCGGGTTACTATTGTTGTTGCATGCATTCCCACTTTTTATGATCTGCAAAAAATCTCAAATTGACCCCCGACCCCTGTAAGGATCATAAGGAAAGTGAACTGTTTGATTCGGTGATGAGACAACAGTTCAGGCTAGCTTCAGTGCTCGAGGTTATTACGAGGATATGCACGAAGACAGTCGAGCGAGATTATCGACCGACGCGCAGCAGAGGCCGATGCGATAGCGTACATCATGGAAATGCCGAAAAGTTTAGAACAGAATCAGCGAACTTTGTGTGGAGTCCGGTCAAACCCTGGTGGCAGCCATGTTTTTTTTTTTATTAGAGAACGATTACGCGCGTAATCATTCCATATTTGGAATTCGCAATTCCTAATATGGTAGGATGAAAATACCACGCAAAATACCGCAAAATTATGGCATGCTGTACCTAATGGCGTCACGGTGACAGATGTATAATAACGGTAATCATTAATTACAACCGAATCGACGACTAAAAATGCAAGTATCGAGATATTCTAAGTCGGAAATAAAAAGTTTCACTGTTTTTCAAAGTGTGTAAAAGCGAAAATTTTGCATACGAAACATATTTAGGATAACAAAAAAAATAATTGTCCCAAAAGAATTCTGCGGTGACGGGACTTTTTTTCATGATTTTTATTTTTTGGAATTTTTACTTACATTTTACAGTATTTTACAGAAAGAAAAAAAAAGTCAACTACCATCCTACTGAAATAGTGCGCGCGGTGACCAGGAACGGCGCATTTATTCTGTGAATGACTACTTTCTTTGACAACAATTTTATTTGTCACGAATGTGTGACATATCTAGATCACGGCCAAGCTGCTAAGGCGTACTGACACCACCTCAGCGGCGGCAGGTGTACATCGTCCGTACTTTAGTTTAGTTATTGTTATGAGAACTATATAAAGTTTACATACTGTTCACAATCATTGAGTCAGGGCGTGACGGTCACCATGACAACTGATGCAGACAATGCAGGTTTTTAGAAAGAATTTGATTTTTTTAATTAATTGTGTCTGGATAAAGAATTGTCATGTGATTTCTAGATCCTTCGATTTGCGCTTGGATTTGCGAACCGCGCACGTACACAGTAGGATAGAACATTGCTTCTCTCTGTGGAAGTTACGTCACGAACTGACACGGACGTTTAGAATGACGTAGTTGGTATATCGCACGCTTACCAAGTTTCGTCGAGATTATTTGCTAATCGCATTTGTCGTTTTTTGGTATAAAGTGTTTCTTCTCGTGAACACACAGTCTCGTGCATCTATTCACCACAGCGTCAGCCGGTGTTCATATTCAAACCTGAATTTGCCAGAGTCAAGCAACATCCACTAAGCAGAAGTAGTGTTTATTTCAAAAATTTTTTTTTTTGCGGCATGAGGTGAGTTTGAATTTACACACTATACGACTTAACGCATACACATAAACTGTTAGATGTGTTTTTAAGTAAGAGTGAAAGATGGAAATATACTAGTAGTTTGTTCCAACAAAACTGAACAGCAAACAGGGAGGTATTGTACTTAATATTATGCGGACATTACATTTTGATCGGCTATCGGCTCTTTCTACATCATAGCACATCCTGAACACCAAACGTGAATAACATTGACGTTACGAAATCCAAGAAATGTTCGTCAAAATAACGTGCCTACTTCTAATGCACAGATGAGTATTTAAATGAGATCTCTTGAACTTCGGCGAAGTAACAACTATACAAATATAGTACATCATAGACCCTAGAAAAGGAGAAGAAACTAAGGCTTTAACAACGGAATTCGGTGTTTGTGATTTACGATGTACCTTCGTATAACCATGGAATTACCATGGAGCCAAAAAAGAGGGGAGGGGGTTTATAGTTAGATTATCTTAGTAGAACAAACGAGTTATCGTGAACTGTGTTTTACAGTAACTGAAAGAAAGCAAATGTTATCTCCCGATTCTGAAATATTTTGTTGCACTGTGAACCTAATTTATAAATTTTCTGTTTTTACTTGTCTCCGTGAACGTACAGTGATCTTAATCACTTTTGCAAAAGAACACCGTATAATATACATTCTGTAGTTACCTATCATTCTTATTTAGGTTCTATGAATAAATTAAGTAGAAGAGTATGACATTATGTCATAATTTACATTCCATTGATCCGTGATATGTACTGATAATATCATTTATTTCTTAATCTGGAATCACAAAAATAATATTAATATCAAAAGTGAAGACAGTTTAATCGGGCTACTCCAAATTAGCATGATTATGGTAATTTATGGTGTGAATGTTGCACTGACATGCCAGTTGCTAAGAACTATTTTCGGTTTTGACTAAAATACGTTCATCAAAAAGTTCCATTCTTTCTTGCTCCCTTATTTAACATACAATCACATGCCTATTAAAGTTCACGTCACGACAATTATTTTTTTTTAAATAGACATGGTCGCCGAATTGTTATTCAAGTTAAATCTTCACAAATGTAGATATCGCTGATTGCAATACAAAATGGCCGCCATGTAGAACTTATCGTTATGGAAAGAATATAATAACGCAATTTTTATGAAAACTGGTTCGGCTAAACATTATTGTTTTGTTAAATAAGCTAAAAAAGACATAAACTTGACATAGTAATGCATCATAAGGCATGGTAACTCACATTGACTTTCTTTAAACAGCAACAAATCTTTTTAGCTTGTACGTTTGTTAAACGTTTCTATAACTTCGCTAATAAAAGATGTAGCTACTTTTAACAAAAACGAGGTTTTTGGCACTTAAGCTAAATTAAGATTATGTTCATTCAATTCGCAAAAATTAAGCTATTTCAAAGTGTTTTATGTTCTCAGGCCAATTAACGTGTTGTCAATGAATTGAACGCCGCAAGTGTACTACGTATATGCCAAACATTCATTCAAATTTACAAGCATCGTAATAATCGTAATTTCAGTACAAGGTATTATATGTTTTGAAGACATGAATTTGTCACGCCTCAATAGATTATTAATGAGAATAATAAAAGTTATCTGTAAAATTCGATCAAGTTCATGAAGTACCCTATTTATAGGTAGCAATATTACCATTTTAGTAGTATGTGTACATATTGCACACGTTTTCAATCGCAATATGTGTCAACATTATTAATTATTAGAGATTGTTCATAATTTCATTTTAAATGATAGTAATTAATGAGTGTAATTAGTGAAAATACCTGACTTTCAACCAAAAATTTACGGTCACCACTGGCCTAGACAACTGGGTAGAAGCAACCTGCAAAACAATTCACTGAAATAATCAACGCCGCATTGTGCTATTGTTGCGATGGTGAGGGTATATGTTCACCAATATTTAATTATCAACAAATATACCTACAAAGTAGTGATCATTATATTACGAAA